ACTATGTCAATCTTGATCTATTTCCTCTGTCTTTTACCTATTTTCTTGGTTTCTTTATCAATCTTCACAAAGAAGCTCAAACCCTCAAAATGGAAGCTTCCTCCAAGCCCCAAGACACTTCCGATCATCGGAAACTTACACAACCTCAAAGGATTGCCTCACGAATGTTTTCGAAATCTCTCTCAAAGGTACGGACCAGTGATGCTTCTCCGTTTCGGATTCGTTCCAGTTGTTGTGATCTCATCGAGAGAAGGTGCAGAAGAAGCTCTCAAGACCCAAGATCTCGAATGTTGCAGCCGACCAGAGACGGTCTCGACCCGAATGATCTCTTACAACTTCAAAGACATCGGTTTCGCGCCTTACGGTGAGGAATGGAAAGCTTTAAGGAAGCTCGTGGTTATGGAACTCTTGAACATGAAAAAGTTTCAGACTTTTAGGTATATTAGAGAGGAAGAGAATGACTTGTTTGTCAAGAAACTAACCGAATCTGCTCTGACACGAACCCGGGTGAATCTGAAGAAGACGTTATTCACGCTTGTCGCGAGTATCATCTGCAGGCTCGCGTTTGGGATAGATATCCACAAGTGCGAGTTCATCAACGAGGACAGTGTAGAGGATCTTGTTCACAAGTTTGATTTAGTCATGGAGACTATTGCGTTCGCTGATTTCTTCCCTCGTGTCGGGTGGCTTATCGACCGGATTTCTGGCCAGAACAAGATATTGAACAATGTTTTCACGGAACTCGACACGTTCTTCCAGAATATTCTCGACGAACATCTTAAGCCTGGAAGAACAGTATCAGAGAGCTCTGATGTCGTTGATGTGATGGTTGATCTGATGAAGAAACATGAGAAAGATGGAGACTCTTTCAAGCTCACTACAGATCATTTCAAAGGAATCATCTCGGTAAATCTTCTTCTATACCCTGCAAATGCTAGTTCTTGCAAAGCTTGAATTTACACCTTTGTGTGTTGTATCAGGACTTGTTTCTTGCAGGAGTAAACACAAGCGTCATCACATTGATTTGGGCGATGACAGAGCTGATCCGAAACCCGAGAGTGATGAAGAAAGTGCAAGACGAGATTCGGACAACACTTGGGGACAAGAAAGAGAGAATCACGGAAGATGATACAAACAAGCTTCACTACTTCAAGCTCGTGATCAAGGAGACATTCAGGTTACACCCAGCAGCTCCACTTTTGCTCCCAAGAGAGACAATGTCTGACATCAAGATCCAAGGCTACGATATCCCCGCAAAAACCCAAATGATGATCAACATTTACTTGATAGCTCGCGATCCAAAGTTCTGGACAAACCCTGATGAGTTTGACCCTGAAAGATTTCTCGACAGTTCCATAGATTACAGGGGACTGGATTTTGAGCTTTTACCGTTTGGTTCTGGCCGGAGAATATGTCCTGGAATGAATATGGGAATCGCCACAGTCGAATTGGGACTGTTGAATATGCTTTACTTCTTCGATTGGGGATTACCTGAAGGGAAAACTACTAAAGACATGGACTTGGAAGAAACCGGATCAATCATTATCAGCAAGAAAACAACTCTTGAGCTTGTTCCCCTTCTTCATTACTGAAATGAATATTATGAATCAAATAGTCGATAAGATAATGTATTTGTACGCAGCTACTTACTTTTGATTTTGCTGTATTTATATTATAGTAAGATTTTCTGGAAATAAACCCTCCAAGT